CAGACTTGTTCTAATATCATTATAATGGCATAAAAAATATATTATAGTAAACTAATTATGTAAATCATTGTCACCAGTGTCCTGTAAGTATACCTGTCTGGAGTTTACTCAGCATCATGGTTTACAAAGAAAACAAACAAGCAAGTAAATAACAAACTATAAATCCATAGGTTGGTACTTTTTCAAAGTAAAGTTCCTTGTCTTTTAGGTTCTTAAGCTTCCTTGAGATTTTAATAATTGAATATGACATGCAAAAGCCACAGATCTTGTAAATTTTACTAATAATTTTTTTTTTCTAACGAATAGTTTTCTAGGCTAAACCTGAAGAACCCAACACTCACAATAACCCCTGATTCTACAATCCACTGAAAACACTGGGTCTCATATTTTTACATAATTGTAACAATCTCTCTTGTCAGTGGCTATTACATAACTCATAGCTTAAAGGCAGGTAATAATTAGAAAAAGGACTTTTATATCTGTGAATTAGCATCTCTAATGTATGTTCACTAATTAATACAGTGCATCCAATGATCTACAGTAATAATAAGAAGAGAATGCACAACTGTATATTCCTGAGCACTTCAGCATATTTTTAATGCTCTAAACTGCCAGTTTGAAACATGGGACCTAAAGGAGCCTATCAACACATGGTTATATAAAAATAAATAGAAAACATTGTTGATGGGCATATGCATGTGCATGTGTGTGTGTATAAAATCTAAGACAGTTCATTAGTAGCATTTATGGTCCCAAGTGTAAACTTTTAACATTATTAATTTTGACATAATGTTTCCCTCTATAGTTTTACATATACTCTTTCCTAGGGATAACTGTTCGCTCACCTTTTCAATATATCAAGTTACAGGACTTGTTACCTTTCACTTATGTAGAATGACAGAATTTCAAAGGATAAAACTTCATAGTAATAGTACTGTCAAACACCCTTATAGAAGTATAAGCCTTTGAATTTCAGATATATGAGGGACTTTTAATATCATAAAGTCCAATATGCTAATATTTATAATAAAAGAGCAATTATATTTGGTGAATCCAGCTTACTTGTCAAAGACTACCAGTATTCCATGGGCATGCTGACACCAGAAATATATGCCTTATAAAATACCACTGTGGCACATTCAGCACTGTTGATTGTTTTTCTTAGAGTTACAAAGCACTAAATTACATTTACATAAATTTGCAAGAAGAAACAATATTTGTGTCCATGCCTTTAAATATGGAAAAACTTCACATAAATAATAAAATTAGTATCTGCAAATTCTACGATGCAGAAAAAAATATTTCTAATAACAATACACAAAATTTTTCAAGTGTAGAATTAGAAATTGGTTGAATAAAAATGTGACTCATCGGAAAAGAAAACAGATACAATAATGTTGATCTAAATTAATTAAATGGGGTGTAATTTCTCAATATTTTAGCCGGTATAGATAACAGACCTTACCTAATAATGTGCAATTTAAGATTAAAACAAACTAATGTGTGTAAATAGTTCAACCCAACACCCAACAACTATTATGCTTTTCACAAAATACAAGCATTAGAATTATGCCATAGTAGTGGTCACTAGGGAACTTTAGTCCTCCACAAGTGCATCGTAACATTACAGTCTTACATAACTGAAATATTAATACACTCAAAGAAAAAAATTTGTTTTTGTCACTAGTGGGGAGAACTAAGAGTGTCCATTGAAAAGAAAGAGGAAAGTTTGCAACAAAGCAACTTAAACTTTGTGTTGGTTGGACAGAAAGTCATTCTTTTATTTATAGATCAAGGGTGATTCTTGAGAGCATAGAAAATTTCCAAAAACCGCATTGTCTTCTGATTCCAGTAGATATTTAAAACCATTTGGAAAATTTAAGACTTTGCTAAGTTGATGGAAGCTTTAAGTTAATTATATACCAAGAATTATTTACATCTTCCTCCAGTGTTACTATTTCACCACTGACACCTCTGGAGATGTATTCTTAAATATAAATTTATTTACATATAAATATAAATAATCACAAATTTAGACAGCTGCTCCAGAAGAATTACAAAATTGGAGGATACCTAATTTTTTATGCTCCTTATTTTAAAAATTCTGTAAAGAAAACTATTCCCTAATAATATTTATAAAATACTTAATGAATTTTTAATGTAATGTAAATATTGTAATATATTGCATCTGTATTATGATTGAAAAATCCTGGTAATCGTGGTGCTCTAGATCACAGCCCTGTATTTTAAGGAATCTCCACAATGATTTCCACAATGGTCGTACCAGTACACACTCCCACCAACAGTGGAGAAGGGTCCCTTTATCCTAAAAGCCTGTCCAGCATTTGTTTTTGATTGGTTTCTCAATAATAGCCATTGTTTCAGGAGTGAGATGGAATTTCAGTATTGTTTGTTTTAATTTGCATCTCATGAATGACCAGTGATGCTGAGCATTCTTTTACATATATACTTGCTGTCTTTATTTTTTCATCATTTCAGATGACTATTTTTAAATTGGGTCTTTCAATTTGGGAGATCTGACCTCTAAAATTTCTTTGCATTTCACATATTAGTCATTTTATTGAGGAACAGCTTGCAAAACATTTGCATCCTGTTTCTTTTACTCTGTTGTTTTCTTGTGCTGCACAAAAGCTTTTTAATAAAATGAACTCCCGGTTTTTGATGCTTTGTAATATTTCCTGTGAGGGGAGTATTTTTCATAAAGTCTTTGCCCACACCAATGTTTTCAAGCGTTCTACGTATTCTATCTCCCAGCACATTTAGTGTGAAATATCTTTATATGTATATATATATATATATAACTTGACTGTCCTGTGCATGGTATAATTTCAAAATCACTGGACTGTTAAGCTGAGAGTGTGTCATCAAACAGAAATAGCCATAGAACGCAGAAAATTAGAAAACTCAAGATTTCTTCTGGAGACATTTCTGACTCTGTGGTAAACAGACAAGAAGTCCAGAGAAATTATGAACTGTAGGTGAGTTATATCACCCCATGAAGGTTTAGCTCATATTTAAAAACTTGAACGAAATACAAAGTATTTAATTTGAAGACATTTTATCATCTAGAAATGACCAAACTTGGGCCAGCTATATATCTCAGTGGCACGGCACCTGCCTGGCAAGTGAGAGGTCATGAGTTTGATCCACAGTATAATCATTAATTAATTATTTTTTTTAAATGTAGTGGCCCTCTCTTTCATGGGTCAAACTGTTTTTTTCTTTTAATGTTGACATTTAGAAACCTTTTTTAATGTGATATTATGTCATGATGATTTCTATTGCCAAAAAAATGTAGATCTCTTTTAAATGGAAATAGGCAACAAGTCCTGATGTAACCATGTATCTCTGATTCATTTATAAATCAGCAACTTAGAAGTCATCGTGCATGTGCCATTTCTCAACCACATGTTAGCTAATAATGGAGAAGGCAGCGTCAAACATCTCTCAAAATTTTTCTGACCTCTAAAATAAAACATGTTCCAGACCGTAGTTAGAGAAACACCTTGCTACTTCATTTGATATGATTTCCATATCACAGGGCATTAAAACCCCAAGTAGAAAGCTCCCTAAACTTATTTATACCGTAACCGAGTTGCACATGTGATTTAAGCTTAATTCAAAAAATGGAATCCTTCACAAGAAGAAAGATGGACACATCGTGAGCCTGAGATGAAGATGGCATTAAATTCATGTGACATGGAACTTCTTGGAATAGAAATTGCCTTTTGCAACATACAAGGCTAAAATTCTGAGCTAACATGAGTGCTCTGACAAAAACATGTCCAAGATCTCCTTTCTGCATTTTCATTGTTACTGTTATTATCACACTATTATTTTTAGTTCATCTTTATAACATATAATATTTACATTCATTGCAGGTATTTGGTACATATATAAAACACATCCAAATCTATTTCCTGCCTCTCTCTCTCTCTCTCTCTCTCTCTCTCTCTCTCTCTCTCTCTCTCCTTCCACTCTTTATTTGCTCTCTATTTGCACTTTGGCCTTACTTGAAAGAGAGATACCACACAGAATTTAAGCTTGTGTATCTGGTTTATTTTCTCTCACTTAACATTGTATTTTCCACATGCATATCAAATTTATTCTTGTTTGTAGATGAATAGTATAGATACCACTATATGTAGATGGTATACTGAAATACTTAGAAGAGTAACTGCCCTTTTACCAATCCAGAAGCACATATAAGCCCAGGTCAAAGGTCTTAGTCCAGCAAAAATCTGTAATAACTTAGCATTATAAGGTCAGCAGGAGCACATATGAATAGAATGGTTTGTGTTGAAAAACCACACTGCCTGGGATTAATTATCTCAGGAAGTAAACTTAGTTATATCGATGAGTGAACTGTAAAACTAAGAATCTACTGAGAAGAAATGAGGGGGGAGAGGAGAAGGACACAAGGAAGAATTAAGAGGTGTTAGGAACATGTCCCGACTCCCACACTGAGTGTCATTACTAGGTACTGCAAACACGCAAAAATAACAAGTTTTAAAAAGAGCACATAGAGAGAAAGAGTATTGTTCTCTCCACTAGAATTATTTCTTACTAAAACATAAATAAATTGAAATATATATCTTTTCAAATCTTTACCTTCAAAATAAAATGGCATGAGAGTGACTACAGTTTAAATAATGGCTTCTCCTTGAAGATATTTTGAAAAGTTGCACCTGCAAATTCATAGATGTGTCAGATCTCACACAGACAATGCTTGGTTGTAGAATTTCATCAGAACATACAAGGAATAAATACAAACTTGTGTGGAAGTTTTCAAGACCTCTAGACAACCACAAGATTTTGCAATGCAGGGCCGCTGTGGCCTTGGGCTCCTGGTGACTCCAAATTGAGTTGAATTTTTGAGTTTTCATTCTTTCATTTTAACTTTATTTTCAAGCAGCATCACATATTTTCCTTTTTCTATGATTTTATGTAACTATTACTTTAAAACATGCATTCCTTACCTTTGAATCTTGAACTTTCTTGACTTTTTTCCTGCTGGAATTAAAACAGAAGTAGGTTAAAATCTTTAGACAAACATTTGATCCCCAACATTCTTTTATAAAATATCATTATGAAAAAGTCAAAATTTCTTTTTTGGCACATTAACTCTAGAGACATTGTAACACAGCTCACCTTAAAAACCTATGCAAAATATTTTATGGTAGTAGGGTTCATACTCTGAGGACATATATTTCTTTAAGAAACCTACATCATATGAATATGGATTAATAAGCAAATAAGTGGTTAATAAATAAGTCATTACTCATGCTTCCCAAATGCCTTAGGTTATTCCACTTAATTTCAGTAAATATTGAATGATGTGTTCAGAATTCGCTTTGAACTGGTCCACATTAACCATCAATTGTTAGCAAAGGTAAAAGTTTAAGGTCAAACAGTTGAAAATTTCACAAAAATGACACTAAAAACTTTTCAGCTGCCATTCCTTCACTTAAACTTAGAGTTGGACCCTGAGTCACTTCTTTAAGGCTAAAATTGACAACAATTCTATTATTTATTCAAAAGCTGCACCGGTTAGACCTGTCTCTCAATTTGACATACTCCTTCCAGTTACCAGGCAACCTCAAAAGAATTAGCTCTTTTTCAAGTTTTAAAGTAGATATCATGCACTCTCTAACCTCTTGAGTAAGATTCAAGCAGTTTAACCTGTCCAAAATTCTCAGGGTCTCATGCTGAAAACAATTTAAAACATATTTCAAATAAAAATAGTAAATATAAATATGTATATATATATGTATATATATATATATATATAATGAACTACAGAATTACACAAATTCCAATAATTTGTGGCACCAGTAAAAAGAAATATGAAAAATTTATATTGTTGCAAACAATAACTCCCGATCTCAAGTATGAGAATAAAAATGTTTATTTATAAATGTATATTTATGAAACTAGTTAACCTAATGTTATGATTTTAAAACTTTGATTTCTGATTTCCTCATACTAACTTACCCATCCTCTAAGTTCCTATTCTGTTATTCCTTTTATTAGTTCATTGTTTCTACTTCTGATTTATATTCAGAGTATCTGTTGGTAATTTAAATGTACAATATTTCTGTCAAATACACTCATCTTTCATAATTACGGGATTAGCAGGCTTAAATATTCCCTTTTCTTTCTCTCTCTTTCTCTTCTCTTCATTCTTTCATGCATGTGCATGGATCATTTTTATATGCCATGCAAGAGAAGCTGCATAAACAGTTATGATTTCTCCTCAGAAAGATCTACCACAGAAGGTGACAATGTTGGCCTGGAGAGAGATAACTAAACATACGGCCATGAGGCTAAACTGATTTTTAATCAAATTCAAGTGTAATAAGACTAGGATACAAGCATACTTATACAAGGAGACCAGGAACTGGGAGAGAAGAAGAATTGCAAATAGACTATGATAAAAAAAAAAATTGTTATTGTCAAAAGTATCAGAGTGGGACAGGTCCGGCTTGAGTGAAGGCAGTGCCATAGGAAATGCAACCAAGAAGCTCGCAGGGTTCAGTCAAACTAGCACTTGGCACGTTCACTAGGACTCTGGAGTTTGTTCTGAGGGGGCTGAGGGAACACGGGACATCTCCTCGGGGAATGTTGTTATCGGATTACCCTTGGATGAAACCACTCTGTCTACTGGCCAGTTTGTAAAGGGCAAGGATGAAAGCAAGACTGAGGACTAGTGAAGTGGGCAGTGCAGGTGACCTGGACAGTCACAGGCATATCCTGTCACAGCTGCCAAGCTTTCCCACTGGCCTCAATGTTAATGCCAGGAGCAAAGCAGACAAGTGTGACACCAAGTGTCTGAGTGCTAGAGGAATGGAGTTATCTGTAAATAAAGTGAGAAAGTGGCCAGGAAGAAGACTTTTAGTCCTTCTTCACTCTTCTTCTAGCACTACCACATGTACTCTGTCTTCTAATTCTTCGGTCATACCCATCCAGTGTGGGTATGATGAGATAAGCAGGAGTCCTGCCTATCTCATCAATTCCTAGACTGGAGGTCCTGGGAGTTGGCAGTTATCTTCCATGTGGCTCAGTCCTTTGGTGTGTTATCTGATGTGGCTTTGAGTACTGGTCTTTTGTCAAGGATGTGTATCACAAACAGGCTCGACATTGAACTTCAGATTCACACATCCACTTGTAGTTGTTACATGTCTGTTTGGAGACCTACTAATATCACCTACATGCCAAGTACCAAACTGAATTTCTGATCTTCCATTTCCTCCTGGTTCGTCTTCTTCATGCACACTGCAGTTAATTATTTTATCCTGTTAGTTGTTACAACTCCTAGAATTATCCTTGTTACTTTATCTCTTAAGCAGTAATGCACTTCATAGTTCATGAGTTTGCTGTTTTTGACATGTCAACTTTGGAATTTGACTGTCACTGAGGTTCAAAGTAGGTGCAGTATGGTTATATCACAGGAGATATCTGAGCAAGATAAACTTTGTACTCAACAGTGAATATGTAAATGTATCTGTTTGTATCTGAAGAACACAGAGTATAGTTGAATGCATTAGAACTGAGTACTAGAATATGAGAAAAATAAAAAGTGAAAGTTAGTCACCAAAAGAGAATGCATGTATAGAAAAATTACAGAAGAAAAATGAGAAGGGCAGGGAAGCATGAATTCTCAGGTAGTGGAGTATTTAGGAGGAAGATTTCCAGCAGTGCACAACCCTCTGAGTACAAATATAACGGATCTTTTAAAATGACCATTCATATTACTGAGTTAGAATGAATAATTGCCTTCAGATTTTTGGTGCATTTAAAGGGCTTAGGAAACCTGAAATGTTTTAAAAACGGCAGATTAACACAGCACAGCTGGGTGTCAACATAGCTCTGGGATTCCCCAGGGCTCCTGACCGGACCCTCCCAGCACTGTTCCTCTTTTCTGCCTCCAGTGACCATGACCTGAAGAGCTTGGTTCTTCCACATCCTTCCTGCACTCGGTTTCCACACTGAATAGACTGAAAATGTAAAATTTACACGTCATAAACTTTCAGTCAATCAGAGACTGAAATCATGAGCCAGTGAAACTTTTACATTTGTACCTGTAGGTGTTGGATATTGAAACCAACAACAGGAAAAACTAAAACAGCTACTAAACAGTTTAATGACACAACCCACCCTAGAGGTCTTGTTTCTCCCTGTGTCCAATGGCTGGCCAGGAGCTGTGGGTTGCTGCCGCTGCCTAGCATCACAAGACACTAGTGTCTCTCCTACCACTACACTGGGAAAATAAATCTTCAAGGACTGTGCAACTGAGGCAAACTTGTTGAGGACATGCTTAGTTTCAACCAACCCTTCTGTCCCAGCTCCCTCCCTATTTTTTTGGCCTTGTGAAAAACAACCCCTGTGACTAACCTGCCTGGAAGAAACCTGCCTGACAACATATGACTTGACCAATCATATGATAATCTGCTATCACTTTTTGGACTTCATGCATACACAATATGTAAAAGTTTCTGCTTCACTCTGAGTCAGAACAGGTGATCTGAACTTGTTCCCACCCTCCCACTAGCTTAATAACAAGTTGTCCTCCAAGCCTCAGTGCAAAAGTTCTTCCATCTGGTTTGATTTCAGATTTCTGTAACATTTCTTGGTGTGTTGGCAGGGAAGACACTCTGCTGAACAATTTAAATCACTGGTATAGGCTTGCTGGCTGCTTCTGGGGCCAATGCCCCAATCTGCACATGAGAAGTTATACCCTCCAGATATTTCTTCCTGGTCTCCTTGACAGTCAAGGCAGAGAGCTTCAGCCTCCCTGTGACAACAGAGACCTAACTGGATCCTGGGAGGAGTCGGAATGTGACTACTCTGGGCATGCAGATAATGTAGGTCTGCCCTGGGTTTTTCCTGCAGCTGGCCAAGTAACCTGCTTGTTGCCATCGCCCTCTGTGGGACTATAAAAATGGACAGAATAGGCAAATATTCTCAGATGAAAGAACTAAAGAGCCGGACATGGTTTCACATGCCTGTAACTCCAGCACTTCAGAGACTGAGGCAGGAGGATCATTGTGAGTTCGAGTTCGAGACCATTCTGGGCTACAAAGTAAACTCAAGGCCATCCTAAACTGCACAGTGAGACCCTGGCTCACAAAGACAAAAAAAAAAGACAAAAAAAAAAAAAAAAAAAAAAAAAAAAAAAAAAAAAAAACCTCAAGAGGATATAACGTAATATATTTTATGAAAACAGGTTTGATGTGGCCTGAATCAGCTGTCAAGCCTAATTTTATAAGCTGACCAACAGCTACACAAATTTAATTTCTAATTTCTCCATGTCTGGTCTCTATTAGGGTACCATGTGACATGGGTTGCAGAAAGTCAGATGGACCTACTTCAACATTTTTAAAGATAACTTGCAGAATCTCTAACAGAATCAGCTCTCTCTATATGCCTTAGTCTATTTTTTGCTGCTATAAGAGAATATAGAAATCTGGGGCAAATTATAAAAATAAAAATTTACTAACTTATGGATCTGGAACTTGGAATGTCCATATCAAGAGGCAAGCATTTGGCAAGAGACTCTTGTTATCAGCCCACAGTAAGTAGGAAAGACAGTATAAGAGAAAGCAAGTCAGTGCTGAGCAAATCCTTACTTGAAGAATGCATTTCCTTCACAAGGGACTTTTGGCACACATGAACTGTGGAGCACACATTCCAGCACTGCAAAGTGTCTAACCAAACGGCTGCTTTGTTTAAAGGTATTGCAATAATCTCACTGGAGAATGTTACCTTATAGTGACATGCTGACTTTATTATCTACCTTTCATCCCTCAGCATCAGAACCAAGAGAGTCTAGATGGAACAATACAAGATATAACTGAAATTTGGGCAATCAATATTCCAAAATATCTGGAAAATACTGGTAATTACATTAGCAAAAGAATGTAGAGAATGTATCAGTTTTAATGGTACAAACAGTGGGCTAGAGATGAAGAAAATTCACTTTAGGATAGACTATATTTATCAATTATGAGTAT